GTCAAAGAGGCCGCCAAATCAGGCTACGAATACCCAAGAGCGGCTCGGACGAAAAAGGCTCGCCGTGCCCAGCGACGCCGACCGCGGCCCACCGGCACCATCATTGCCAACTTGAACACCCGACATTCGCCAGCGGTGCAGCCGACGATGGACCCAACAGTCGGCGAGGTTTACAAGATCTCATGGCTCCGGCAGCCTGCTCTGGCTGTTGTCCTCCCCATGGCAAACCTGTCGGTAATAGGAATGACAGGTCCTGCTGTAACTGCCCTAGGGTTCACGATACCACGCTGCTACCGCTTTCTAAAGAGGAAGGAGACCTACGGGTGGGAACATAACTACAGGGATGGCCAAGAACGTGTCAGGAACAGGAAATACCCAATCCTAGCCTTCTGTAGGGGCGTTGAAATACCAAAGTTCCCCGAGCCGTTTGCCCTACCGCTTGGTATCGAGTGCTACGACTTTTTGAAGCGTTCCAAGCTCACCATGGTCAACATGGATGACCCCGAAGTCCGTGAAATCGAGAGCTATAAAGCCGCCAAAGCATTTCATGAGAGAATGAAGGCATGGAGAGGTCAGTTTTCCATGTTCATGTTTCTTTAATTCCAGTGCTAACCCTAAGGGCCTCGCCGGCATGCAGCGAGCACTAAAGAACAGGACTCGGATGAACCTGGAAGCGAACGCGGGAATACTGATCGTCAAGACGGTCGTGACGACGGCGACCAATGGAACGATGACGATGACGATCTTGCCGTTGCCGACTCGGATGACGAGAGCGCCGACTCCGACTCCGATAGCGCCGACTCCGACGCCGACTCCGTCTTCGGCACAGCCCGCGAAAACAGGATTGGTCATGACGGGAGTGGCCCATTCTCCCGCGTTGGCCTTACCCCAAATTCTGCCCAGCCGGCGCCTTCAAAACAGCTAAGCCATCATGCTCGGGAGTCAAGCTTGGCCAGAGTCGGTTCGAACCATCGAGTCTCGATTGAGCCTCAGCCCGGCATGGAGCCTCCAGCCAAAACCGGCTTTCCTTTGCAGGCTTTGCTAGAGACGGATTCATCAGTTGAAGGTGTTGGGGCCCCTGAAGATATGGATGCTTATATCAACGACATCTTACGCAAGGCATTTCCCGATGTTCTTAGCACCATACCTTCACGCCAGTTGCCCTCGTCCTTTTTTGAAACCGAGAGGGTACAGCATAGGGACCAAGGGAGGACCAGACAATTCAGTCCAGATAACGGCGGAAATCCCAAGGGCACCATCTTTGCCAAGCCCGGGCGCGCTGTAGCTGACATGGGTGGCGGTGTCGACAAGAGCGGGGTGCCGATGAGAACCTTTGCTAGGGCTCCCAGCCGTTTGCCATCTGCTGGTGAAGGGGTCATGGCTGACAAAGGTGAATCTGGCAGCAGTTGTGAACGGACGAGGTCTACTAGTTCTTAGAGATTCAGGAGGAGCTCGGGATGGGCAGAGTAATATCAATGAGAATGAAAAGTGTATGATTATAGGTTACCAGGTTACCAGGTTGGGAAGTCGGCAAAATATGACAAGGAGGATCAAGATTGATATCAAAATGACAAAATGAGGGATAGCAATTTCAAAATAGCAGTCATACATTGATATTTCCTTTCGTAGTCCAGGATTCCCTCAGGTTTATAACATGGCATAGCTGGAAGCTCTCTCTTCACAATGCCCTCGATGATAACGAATAGAGAAGAAATCCTTTGCATTGTAACATTTATTCCAAAGATGTCCATGTTTGCCGTATATGCGAGTCCAGGCATTAGAGTCCAGGGATTTAGGCATGGTCTCTACGACGCCAGCCACCTCATGTCAATCTTCAAGCCCCTAGCAAAACGCGCCATCTCCAAGTCGGTGCCATCCTCGCTGACCTTCCACAGGTGAACGCACCTCAGCCACCATATTACAGCAACCGAGAAGGCCACAAAGGGTATGGCGAGTCCAAAGCCAGCGGCCGTCGCCCAGTACTTGGTCACGTTAAACATCTCGCGCATCTTGCTTGGCGGCTCAAATGTCATGTACCCGCCAAATCTGGGGTATGCAAAGGGCGAGGTTTGGCAGTAACATGTGTTCATTGCACCGGTGAGCTGCCTGGGGTTAGTGGCTGAGGGCGGGAACAAGGGAGAAAGGCCACAACTTACGATCAAAAACGTGACTGTGATAAGCCAGCAAAACGCAAGACCGTTGAAGAAGTAGCACAGACCCGTGACTACCTGTCCTGGCCTGTGGCTAGTAAAAAGCGACAAAAACCAGGAAATTGAAGATAGGACCGCATAAAGCGCAAAGCTTCCCGACCAGCAACCAAGCCCCACCGTCGGAGTGTTAAAGGCAAGCATAAAGGCCAGCATAATGACTGAAATGACGGCCACCTGCGATACCAAGGCCGTCATGAACCAGGAAAACGGACGTGGGCGGTTAGGTCGAAGTCTCTGGTACACCCTGTCTGCAAGATCGGTGTAGTACTTGGGAAAGGTTGGCACGACATTGTCGTCTGACGGCTCCTCGGCCATAACGGCGTGGGAAAGCCCGGCGTATTGGATCGATCTGCCCTGACCGATAAAGCCGCCCGGCCCAACTCGAAGAGTCGTGATGGGGGCATGAGCGGCTGGTCCTAGTGGCGCCAGTGGTATGGCGGTCGTGCTCGGTGTTGGAGATGGAGTCGTGCTAGGCGACGGGGATGTTTCGCTTTCTGTTGGTGGCGGAGGCGGCCACCACTGAATAACAGGAGTCTTGCCTTCTCTGTGAAGCTTCACCGCCTGGACATTATGCAGCCATCTTTCCATCAACACCCTAGAGTGTAGACAACACATGGTTAGACCCTCTTGGCTCCTGACAATAAGTGATCACCGTCGGTGGGTTTTGCATACTTTGCGCGGTTTCCCGAGACGGGATTCCGGTCCACGATAGTAAACATAACCAAGACCGGAAGCCAACTCCACAGCAGTCCAAGGGCAAGCTGGTCAACTGAGGCGCTATCTGTGAGTTCAGCGAACGAGAGGACGACCGAGAAAACATAGGCCACCAGGAAGGTCCCCAAACTCGCCAGAGTGGGGATAACAGCCCGCCGTCGCAGCATTCTTAACTGGAAAGCCAGCTGGGACAGTAGCTGGTGGGTTAGCAGTGCGCTCTCGTCGTCGTCGGAACCTGCCTCGTGGACCGCTGGTCGGAAAAGGCCGTACATCAGCGTCTCCAAATGCTGAAGGGTTATGCCAACAATGTCGTACTGGCTCATACACGTTAGAACGTAAAATGCATCATTCCAGTTCAGGTTGGAGTCCCCTGGCCTGGTCCTCCCGCCGGACAGTCGACGTGCTTGCCGTATTTGGCGGAAGTTGAAGATGGTCGCTGTGAGGGCCGTCTGGGGCGAGCCAAGCCAGTTGACAGTCGCTCCCAGGGTTCTGATGAATTTTCGGCGATGGAAGGCCTCGTATGGGAGACTCAGCGCGATAGCCAATGGGAAAATCCACGTCGCTACCATGCTGAGTGCATCCCGTGGTTCTTGCAACTCGACCTCGGAACTGCATATCGCGACACATCCTGGGATAACAACGTTAGTGACACTCGGGTGGCGTAGTGGTTCTTGAGCATTAGTACCCTCGTATGTGATCGTCAGAATATCATTTGCATCCAAGTGTGGCGCCAGCCCGTGAATAGGGCCTTCGTAGAGAAACCCCATATCCTTGATAGTGACGTTATTGATGCTTCCCACCGTCGTATTGACAGTGTTGCCGGCGAGGACGCTATGAAACCGGTCTCGACAGACAGTCCATTTGGTTTTTGTCTCCGAGCCCGCCACGAATGATGGGTTCAGGACGACCAGGAAGACTGGCAGTCCAAGGAGATGAAGGGGTTTGGCTTTTGCCATGTCTAGGAAGTAGGAACTCGGGAAATGATGAAAGTCTGATATTGCAGAATACGATCACAAACTTCAGATACAAGAAAATCACGAGTGTTTATATACTTGTGTGCACTCTTTTTATCACATTTCTTTTGACTCTAACCCAAGTTATAAGAAGCTGGCTCCCGAGGCTTCCACACAAGGTATCTTATAAGGCGTTCTAGTGACATACCGTAACATACGCAAGCTCTTGAACTTGAAGTCAGGCAGCGTGACTGACCTAGTTGAACTTGGAGATATGTTGATATGGAAATATCGCCTCCTCGAGCAGATGCATGTTGATTCTGCCTTATCCACTCGAACTGAACACCACTTGTTGGTAGCCGATTCCTTTCTAAAACAAACCAGAGGGGGTGCTAGAAACCTCACCGATGACCGGCCAATGGGTCATGACCAGGAGATAAGTCGTTAAACTTTCATAGGCCATTCAACTCATATGCCGCTATTTGCACTTTTCGTGGCGGGGGCTGGGTAAAGCGGCCGCAGGACTGTGGACGATGACAGCTGCTTGGTGTTGCAGTGGCGTCCTCACTCAGCTAGTCACCGAAACAGACTGCCAAGGCAATATATTGAGATGTAGTGTTCTTGAATAACTGCACATCCACCCAGCTAGAGTCGGAGCGGAGGTTCATTGATGCTCCGAGAACGTATTCTGGCGCCAGTCACATCCGAGGTGGGTAAAAGTACAAATTTAAAAAGACAGTACTGCACAAATGAGCAGACTTTCAAGACTACTCTCCAGAGTCTCACGCCCGGCTACAGCAGTGGCTATGTCACTTTTGCATTTCTGCTCGAAGTAATTCTTCGCGATGGTGCAAACCTAAACATGCCTTACACTCTAGAGCTATGGCTGATCTCGTAAGAGAAAAAGAGGGAACCCATGTTAATGTCGTTATATAAAACAAACATTTCTATTAAGGCATTCAGTACGTGTCGCAAAGAAATCCTTGTTCCTTGCCCACTACCCATCTTCGGTTATCTAAAAGAACTAATGGGAATGATTATGGTTCATCCTCAACACGAGACCTTGAAAGGATGTAGCCTCATAGGAACTAAGTCCGTAGGGGTTGTCTTATCAAATAATATAGGCAAGATGGCCGAGCGGTCTAAGGCGCCACGTTAAGGTGTTACCTTGATTACAATCTGTTTCGCATGGATTCCGTGGTCCGAAAGGGCGTGGGTTCGAATCCCACTCTTGTCAATTATATTTTGCCATTTTAATTGTACTCTTCATTTTTGCACATGAAAGAAGCCCTTCACCGGCTCCTGTCACCCCTTTTTGCCATTGTGGCAACAACCTTTATGGTAGCTGACTCCATTGTTCTCCGTTGCCTACGGCCGAATGCAGGCACACAGTGACCGGATCAAGCCCGCAACCGCCGACAATTCGTTTGTTCAGCTAGCTGTTGGTCCGCCCGGCACTTTTTTTTTGGTGGTGTCGTCAGTTTCCATTGTGGCAGTCACATTGCCCACCACCATCCACGATGACTCGGGACATCACAAGACGCATCCGGCCCAGGGCCCGGGGAAGGTTCGACTGTTTTCTGCCTCCCCTTCCTTTTCTTTTCCTTTTATTCTCATCAAAATGTTGCATCTTCTTTAACGAGTAAACACTCTCTTCCCTCCATCCGACCGACCTGGTTCAATGATCGCAGCAGTTATCCAATAAACATTTATATCGCCTAAACCCATCCTCATCATATATCATAATGAACTCACACCCCACCACGAATCCACGCATTGTCCTCCTTTGCGATGGAACCTGGTGCGGCCGCGAAACCGGCACGCGAACCAACATCTACCTCCTGGCCAAGCTCTTCGGCGTCAACATCCCCAACGCCGACACGGAAGAGCCGTGCTTCCGTCAATACGACCCCGATGCACCTCCGCATAAGCAAGTTTGCGTTCGGTACCGCCACGGCGTCGGTCTAGGCTCGTCCTTTCTGGACTACCTCTTCAACGGCGTCACTGGTCAAGATCTTGCGGCGGAATGCATCGCCGTGTACAAGTACATTGTCAATCACTACACGTCGCCTGAGCATGAGATTTGGATGTTTGGGCTGAGCCGTGGCGCATACACGGTGCGATGCGTCGCCGGCATGATCAACAATTGCGGCATCATCAAGCGGGACGGGCTTGACGACGGAGAGACAGACATGCTGTGTCAGGAAATCTATAAAATCTGGAAGTCGGACGACGAGATCAATAAGCCCCATAGCCGGCAGATGAGGGACTTCCGGAGACGCATGTCTTGGCCCTTGATCGGGGACGAGAGGCAGGGCGAGGAGAGACTGACGCCGCCCGTCAGGTTCATGGGCTTGTTCGACACGGTGGGCTCACTGGGAATTCCACAGCTGAAGGGAGGTGTCGGCTTCGAGTGGCCGCAGTTTCATGATGACATCGTCTCGTCGGTGGTGCAGGATGTGTGCCATTTGGTGTCATTGCATGATCGGTTCTACGTCTTCCAACCCTGTCTGGCCCGGAGGAAAGGGGATAAGAACCAGGTCGGGATTGACCAGGAATGGATTCCCGGCGTGCATTATGATCTCGGAAGGCAGAGATTCCAGTTCTTCAGGACTGGTTCGGGACTGTGGGAGAGGTTGGCCGGCCTGATTGCGAGCATCCCCATCCTGGGGAGTGGCAAGATCATTGAGCCGAATACGGTCCTGTCGGATCTGGCTCTCTGGAAGATGCTGCAGAGGATTGATCGACACGACCTTGGTCATGTTCTGATACCGCAGTCAGTGCTGACCTCTGAGATGGCGAATCTCGCGGGCGGCATGGCGGATGGCGCTGGAGCATATACACACCGGGCCATGGTGGGAAGCGGTGATGTCTATGATCGCATCATCGAGTATGGGCCGTTTGGGAGTCGGATCGGAGCGATAGTCTTGTTCGTGGCCGGAAGCTTGGGTCTCTGGGAGTTGTTCTTTGACAGAAGGGACAGGTTGATCCCCGATGACAAGGCCAATGTGTATCCCCTTCATCGGCCTGACTCGAGTATTCCTCTGGCGGGATCTGTTGCTCAGCTGGGCGAGGTGACTGAGAAGCGGTATCCGAGCAAGACGCCGTGGACATGGGCGTTGAGGACCGGGAGGCCTGTGCCCTAATAATAGTAGGCGTTGTCTCGCAGGCTCTGAACATTGAGTCTGATATGAGTACGAGCCCCTAATGTAGTGTTAGTAATGCATCTTTGTTAACTCCGAGATCTCCCCGGATAATCCGAGACTTGGTCGGACGTGACGTGTCAGCACTCTAAATCACTGCTAGCGAAGGGCCTTTTGGTACGGACTTACGGTATCTGCAGGTACGGAGTATGGTAAGACGGGAGTAGGCAGCCGGGCCAACTCGGCGATGGCAGGTAGCGATGGTGGCATTTGCCCCCGGGTGGTTCTTTACTTATCACTGGACCTCGAGATCGGCGAGCTATCTCACGAAATACCACTGTATTCTATTGGACAAGAAACAATGGCCCATCCCGCTTTTGGATCGCTCATTGCTCGTTTTCCCTGCTTGAAACATGGCATGGCGTGACTAATCTCCAATGGAACAATGAAGGTGGGGTCATGAGATTTTACACCAGGGTCACGTCACAGATTCTGCTAGCGATCTCTTGCAGTGATGCTATCTCGTCCATGGTCGACGCCAGTATAAAAGGTCGCTTTCCAACCACTGCAAACATCATTTACCACTCAAACCCATCACTACTTCTGACCCTAAGCACTTCACCATGGTCAACGCCTCAACCATCAAAAAGACCCTTGCGGATCTCAAGACCAACGCACCAGCCAATCTCACCGCGGTGGTGGTCGGTGGCACCAACGGCATTGGCAAAGGCTTCCTCTACAAGCTGGCCGAATACACACCCTCGCCCAAGATTTACATAGTCGGCCGCAACGAGACTACTCTGAGCGCCATCATCGCCGACCTCCAAAAGAACGTCAATGCCAAAGGGACGTATATCCCCGTTGTAGCCAGCGACTTGACTCTCCTCAAGCAAGTCAGCCAGGCCACCTCACAAATTCTCTCCCAAGAAACCTCGCACATCGACATTCTCTTTCTCTCTCAAGGATACCTAACCCTCCGTGCGCGGAACGAGTCCTCCGAAGGTCTCGACAAGATCACGGCAATCCGTTACTACGGACGTGTTCGCTTCATCCTGGACCTGCTCCCCTTGCTCGAAAAGTCAGCCAACACGTTCCCCAGGCCGCGCGTGATATCCGTTTACAATGCCGGCTCAGAAGGGAAAATCATTCCTTCCGATCTTGGACTCCGCGAGCCGCAGAACAGCGGGGCCATTCCCGCCCTCGTTGCGGCGACTACTTACATGACGCTGTCTTTTGAGCGGCTGGCGAGGGATCATCCCAAGGTGACTTTTATCCACGGCCATCCTGGGGTGGTCAGGTCGAACATCTTCAACGCCGAGCATTTTCCGTCGGCGTTTGCGTTCTTCATGAACAAAGTCATTGGTCCGACCGTGTTTAGGCTCGTGGCGATTTCGCCCGAGGAGAGCGGAGAGAGGCATTTGTGGGAGGCTGTTGATGCGCGATTTGCGCCCGCTGAAGTCGGCGAGAAAGGCGGAGAGGTTGTGGCGGTAGGATCAGATGGGAAGAAGGGGAGCGGCGCTTACACGGTCAATGGCAAGTGTGAGCCTGTTTTCAGCCATGGCGTGTTGAAGCCATACCGCGACGAGGGAATTGATGCCAAGATTTGGGAGCATACCCTCGAGGAGCTGGAGAGAATCAAGGCTATGACTTAGATTGGCATACACGTAGGATATTGGGTGCTGGGAGACTTGCTGGGGTTTAATGCCGGTGTTTTCGACGCGTTATCAGGTTGGTTTTTGGGCGAGTTTATATCCCTGCTGTTCCTTGGACAAGGTGTTTACGTATTATTTCCATCTTGGTTTCGTTGTCACCACCATATTGCAAGTTGGTGCTGGAAAGTACCTTTAAAACCCCTCATTATTCGATCTTGTATAAAGCCAAATACGTTGTTCGGTGACGCCTATCTTCGTTTGGTCTTGTGCTTCGGTGGTTAGCTTCTTATTCCAGATTTCACTCAAGCATCATTCCTTCTCGGGCATATCTAAACCAGCAGAGCTGCACTCATTAAGGTGGATACTAGCTACTTGCAGTATCTATTGGGCGCTAGGCCGGTAATAAAGTGCTGCTTCTCCATGGGGGAATCATGATACCTCATCCCATCTTCAAGTAACATCGGCCTCTGTCAACAAGAGAGGGGTAAGCTGGCGTCGGAGATCGTAATTACCGCCGATGAGTGGTCTCGTCCCGGGTTTAGCTTCCCGGATCAGACCGCAAGAGAGGTCAAATGCCCAGAGATTTAGCACGCAATTACGGGTTACCCATTCTTGAGCTAGTCCAGTCTGTAAACCTGTGACTTCTTATACTTCTTTGGCAGAGGAGGTCGAAGCTGCAGAGTTCTTTACTTGAGTATTTCTCCTGCATCCCATGCATGGCATATTCTGCAAGAGATTTTCCGTTGGCAACTCCTGACCAGTAAGGTCTCTTGAACCCTTGCCCTTGGGGTAGATCTTGGCAGGAAGAAACAGCAGCTCTGCGGCGTGTATTGGGACATGTTGACGGGCAGCTCGTAACCAGGTCGTGGGGTCTTGACAGCTCGTTCCCGCTTCTTACTCCCGGCTCCAGTCTTCCCCCGGTACCGTCTACTGTCTCTGCAATAACTTTGCTCCTTTTCCAACTTTGGTACCAGAAGTTCAGAACACTATCCGGCTCAACGATCCATAGCTTTATCAGGTTCGAGATGACGGAACCGACCGAGTCCAAGACCGATGTGCAAGTCCAACTCTCTTGCATCTTTGCCTATTGACCACTGTAGCTAACATGTCGCAGGCTCATCATCGGTGCTGGCCCTTCCGGGTAATATGGTCCCTTCATCGCCTGCTCATCCAACAAGAGTTGACCACTGACATGAAACCTACAGGCTCATGGCAGCCGCCTGGATGGCCCACATGGGCGTTAAAGCCCGCATCGTGGACAAGCGCAACACCAAGATATTCAGCGGCCAAGCAGACGGCCTCCAATGCCGGAGTCTCGAGATTTTTGACAGCCTCGGATTCGGCGATCGGGCCTGGAAAGAAGCCCACCACATGATTGAGATTTGCATGTGGAATCCCGGCCAGGACGGCGTGATCCGACGGTCGGATCGTATCCCCGACAC